TGCCGGACATATCGTCAAGCATATTATTACGTGTGCGATATACATACATACATCATGTGTGTGTATACCAGTTCTGTAAACATGAAACCGGAATTTGCCCACAGATGGCCCTAGCTGTCAATATAGTTACCGTCAAACCGCGTCATTGGCGCCATTTCCATTTTTTGACATCTGACAAAGATTCTCAACTCACAACAATACAAGTTTCATACAACAGCATAGTTTGTAATAGCGTTGAACATGTCGAATTTTGTGCCTGGAAGCTACGATTTGCGGACAGCATTAATTTTCTGTTACCATTTGAAGAAAACTGCTGCAGAATCGCATCGAATTCTTGTCGAAGCTTACGGGGAGCATTTTCTTGGTAAATCACAGTGCTTTGAGTGGTTTAAAAAATTCAGACGTGACGATTTTGTCGTGAGAAACGAAGAACGTGGAAGACCACCGAAAAAGTTTGAAGACAGCGAATTGTAAGCATTGTTGGCTGAGGATGATGCTCAAACGCAATAACAACTCGCGGATCAATTAAATGTGACACGAGAAGCCGTCTCCATACGTTTGAAAGCCATGGGAAAGATCCAGAAGATGGGAAAATGGGTTCCATATGAACTGAATGAAAGACAGCAGGAAAACCGAAAAACCACTTGCGAAATGCTGCTCGCCAGGTACAAAAGAAAGTCATTTCTCCATCGAATTGTGACTGGCGATGAAAAGTGGATATATTTTGAGAATCCTAAGCGTAAAAATCATGGATGGTTCCAAGCGAACCATCGACATGGACTGCAAGGCCAAATCGCTATGGATGGAAGACAATGTTCTGTGTTTGGTGGGATCAGAAGGGTGTGGATCAGAAGGATCTATTATGAGCTGCTAAAACTTGGCGAAACCGTTCATACTAAACGCTACCGACAACTAATGATCGATTTGAATCAAGCATTGCGTGAAAAACAACCACAATATCAAAAAAGGCAACACAAAGTGATTTTGCTTCATGATAATGCACCATCACGCACAGCAAAACTGATCAAGGAAACGATTGAGGTGTTTAGTTGGGAAATACTTTCGCATGCGGCTTACTCACCAGACTTGGCTTCATCCGATTACTACTTATTTGCATCGATGGGACACGCACTTGCTGAGCAGCGCTTCACTTCTTACGAAAATGTACGAAAATGGCTCGATGACTGGTTTGCCTCAAAAGAGCAACAGTTTTTTTGGCGTGGCATCCACAAATTGTCAGACAGATAAGAAATATGTATAACTAGCGATGGGCAATACTTCGAATAAAATATTTTTTATCATTTTCATACAATAAACGTGTATTTTCTACAAAAATTCCGGTTTCATATTTACATACCTGGTACTCCATAAATATTATACGCTATACAAGCAATCGTAAAAACGTCATATTATATATAATAACCACGCTACTCTTTTCACATTTCTTGCTATATATACAATGGTCTACCTGCTTATAGAACAATATATTTTTGAGACCAAGTAGAATAAAGAAGTCTAGTACCATTTTCTCTTTTGCTAAATAGTTAGCGAGATATCGTAAGTTAAATCTTGAAATCTTGAAACGTTATCAAGTTTTCCTTAAATATCTCAAAAAATATTAGAAAAATAAAAAAATGTTTCAGACAGAAGCTGTTCAAATTAATTGGTAGGAAAAGATGATATAATAAACAATTGGAGTTTCCATTTAAGAAAGGTAATGATCAGTGAATATCTCGAAAGTGGCGTCATCTGTAAACAAAATGATATAATGTTTTTATGTCCCCTTTGAAACCACACAATTCTTGCCTGAAACATTTTTCTCTAATTTTTCTCTAATTTTTCTCTGTTGCGTTTACAAAAAAATCGGGTGACCCGGGTAATTTAGGGGGACACCCTGTATATACATATATATATATATGTATGTATATATATATGCATGTAATACGAGAAGCGCCTTGGCATTGCCGGAAGAAAATAATCTTCCTTGTAATCGTGAAACGATCTATAGGTCAAATACGGTGAAACGTGCTTTCACTCGAATCCGCGATCGAGCTCGGTCCAGTGCGACGCGATTCTCCGGAATGTCGGTTGATGCAACACGCAGCGTTCGAATAACTCGCGCGCGCGTTCCCCGCAGGTTTTTCTAGACGCATTAATTGCGATCGCTTAATCCGAGCCGAGACGCTTAAGAAACCACGAGCGTGCCGATGGTGACGTATTTGTCTATCCCTATCCGCTTGCGCGTCACCTTGCCGGTTCGAGGCTCTCGAAGGGAGCTGTCTCTCTCGCGTCGTCATTAACATAGTTATCTCCTACTTACTCCGTCAACAGGATAACGAATTTTCGAGAATTGGATCGGGGACACGAGAGGTATCCAGGAAACAGCTACGATTAATGAGACATCGTCGCTTCCTGCCGTCGTAACGGCTCGTCGCGACTTTCCGATTTATTCGTCTAATTCGATTTCGTGTCAATTTCTCGTCCGTCGTCTTATTATGAACCAAACGACGGCGACGAGTGTATCAAAGTGAAATCGTCGGCCGGCCCGGACGGAGAGCACAAACGACACATCGATTAATAGATTCCGCAACTATCGAGTGACGTAAGAATCGCGGATCGAGGCGCGAGGTGTTACGAAAGTCGCGTTCGAAATGTTTCGGGTTCAAAATCCTGATCGACAGTTCTCTCCCGTGCAATGGAATCTTCCTCGGGGTGCTGAATGGGGGACGTTTTATTACCTTGAAGGACTTTCACCGTGGACATTCGCAGAAGTCAAGTGTCGATTTCTTACACGAGGAAATTAAGCCTGCGATTACGCAACGTCACCCCGTGTACGTGCTCGTATATGTCTCAACTGTTGAATCTATAACCTACTGTGCTATAAATTCATGAGCGATTGAAGCAGAAGTACGTCTCAAGCGCTCATGAGAGCTGTTAAATCCTATGAGATGTAAAACAAGATGGTGTTGGAGGACACACCGAGATGTGTGTGGGAATGTGAAACGTTGATCTATGCTGATTGCGTTAAACCGTCTTGATTTACACCAGTGTCAAAGAACTTCCGACCTGTTAATCGAGCATTCGATTTAAAATCGCATGTCACAAGTGGTAAACACACGGCTAAAAACAGAATACAGGAGAACGAAGAACGGAGAGCGATTCTGAGACGGCCGTGATCCAACGATGACCGATGAATTTCATTGAGGGATGTGTTTGCTATGTTACAGATGCTATACCTGCTATGCAAATCGTCCGTTTCAACAGATCTTTCGCACGGAGAACGAGTGGATTTGCGACACCGATGGGCTATCGAGAAATCGACTTGGGTCGATTCGAGTCAAGTCGAGAGTAAAGATCGTTAGCTTCGTGGGGTTCAGCGAATGCGGAAATTGTTACTGTTTGATAATCGCCCGTCGCTCAATCGTGTGTCAAATCATCGAACAAAGCAAAAAAGCCGTAATAAATTCTGGAACATCATGATTACAAGCGCACCGCCGAACTATAGCGACGGTTGCACGCTGACATTTTAGAAGTTGATACAATTAAATATCAGACGTCTGTTAGATCCGTGGAGAGCTTTGCTTCAAAATTCAGCCGTCGATGAAAAAATAAAAACCAAATTGCCATGTCACTAAATGGCGCTTCAGTCATTTCCGAGCAAATTTTATAAATAAAACAAAACCTTTTTATAAATCAGAAAAAAAGTACTATACAATTGAAACTCTGAATACTCAAACTTTCCAACACGGTCAACTTTGCCTACTTAGCTATATAATTAATTTACTAATTTATTTTCACGATGATGTTACGTAGTCACTAATTCGAATGCTTACTTTATCGTAAACTATAAATCAGTAAAAAAATTAAGATACATTCATAAATTATAAAATTAATATTATATAAAATTATATAAAATTATATTACTATATATAAAAAATATTAATACACGTTAAAATTAATATTTCAGAATTAATACATGTTACAAAATAAATATCGAGACGTTTATATCAAATGACTAAAGATAGTCTTAACAATATATCATTTTTCTTCAATTTTCCTTTTTATAGTTACGGAATTTACCTATGATAGTCTTCAACAGGATTTTGTCAGTGCTTTAGAACGCTCTAGAGACAGAGAGCGGTATATCATATTCGAAATCACTCGTCGAGATTGCTCGATAATGCGATTGCAATTTGCAATCGGGTGTTGCACGATTTTTTCTTCCGGAAATGACTGTGTACTGTATGTGGAAAAACGCATGTGGAAAGTTTGCGATGACGTGATTACTGTCCTTGCCTGGTTCGATTATTCCTTATGCTCTCGTTAATAAGAAGTACCTTCATGTGATCTTGATTCTAATGAGTTCGTTGTTGTGAAATAATTGCCGGGATATGTCGACAGTGAATTTCATATTTGTAATGTTAATGGTTACGCGAGAATGAAGCCTTTTCAATGATATCGCAATCATGCAGCTGAAAGGTAATTCTAAGCATGATTACGCCCAAATGATACTTAAAATAAATAAATTGTCCGCAGAGCGTTTGAATTTCTTATAAACTTTTGGACTTTGATCAAGCGTTCAAGAGAGAGAAAGAGAGAAAGAGGCTTTCGAAATTTAATAAAATTTCTGGTATGAAATAATGTTCGGGAAAAATTGGGCGGTGAAAATGTTTGAACATCGTAAAATTTCTCAAATTTAACAGAACTCTCACACGTTCTCTTGGAATTATTAGAATTTCTAATATGAAATGATATTGAAAGCAAAACGTTCCTTTATCCGTTGTTACACATCGAATGATCTTTTTCGACGTCGGCAAAGCGAGTCGCTTACTTTGGAAAAGAAGTAAGTCTCATTTCAGAAAGAAGACGATTAGGTTTTCGATTGTTACGCTTACAAATCAGTTTGAAAAGTCAAGTAACGGTGAAGAAATAGATTTGCACCGCTTTCAAATAAATGGCTCAGGTAAAAAGAAAATTGCTGGCTGTACGTCGAAATCAATTCAAAATTTCTTTATTTTTTGTCGAGTTTGTCTCCTCGTGAATGTTATGTAAGGTGAACTTGTGGACTCGGGTGAAGTGTATGTTGGCGGTGCGTAGTAAGGAGGTCTCATGGGTGGACCATACGTGGGGTGCGCGGGCTGCGGTTCCTTGGACTCCGAGGAACTGGCTGACTTATTAGCGCTGGAGCTGGACGATGTCCCGGATAGATTTGCGCTGGAGGTGGACGAGGTGGCCGACAGCTTTAAGAAAGCACCGAGGATTTCTTTGATGGCCCCGGAGATCAGGTCTCCTGAATTTGGAGTTTGCTGCAAAATTCACCGAGGAATCGTAAACTGCACCGATCGTTATGCGCTATAATCCACGTGAAATTCCAAATCACTTACAGGTCTGTAATGTGGATGATACGAATCGTAAGTCGTTTGCGCATAGTATGTGTCCTTCTTGTGATCGCCTTTGGAAGCGCTGCTGGAACCAGCGCTGGTGCCGGCGAGCACTCCCGACACGACGGCGCTAACCAGAGATTTTACGTCGGAATCGCCCGCCGACTTGGCGAGTTCCTGAAACGCAATTTGTTATCTACTGTAGAATTAATTATATATATTCGACCATTCTATCATTTCGGCTTCTCATTTACAAAGATCGTCTGCATTTGATGGATGAATCAGACAGAGACAGTTAATTTGATGATTTTGAAATTTCTAAAGGTCGATAAACTAACAAAAGTCAGGACGTTATTGTAACAATATATTCTTGAGGCCAAGCAGAATAAAAAAGTCTAGTACCATTTTCTCTTCCGACAAATAATTAGCGAGATATTGTAAGTTAAATATTGAAAAAGTTATCAAGTTTTTCTTAAATATCTCAAAAAATATTAGGCAAATAAAAAAATGTTTCAAACAAAAGTTGTTAAAATTAATTAGTAGAAAAAGATGATATAATGAAAAAATTGGGGTTTTTATGTAGAAAAAGTAATAATCAGTGAATATCTCGAAAGTGACGCCATCTGTAAACAAAATGATATAGTTGTTTTATGTCCCCTTTGAAACCATACAACTTTTGTTTGAAACGTTTCTTAATATATTTTATATTTTTAGGGATTTTTGCCTGGCTTATTTAAAATGGGATACACTCTGTATATATAGTTTAAGAAATAAAATTGAATTTCTACTTTAGTGTATAATACAATTATACGTTTTTAAACATTTATGTACAATTATTGTATTAAACTATTGTATACGATTATACACGATTGTACTATATTTATTTATTTATATGAAATTGCGATATAAAATAATTATGTCGACAATTAAATAATTTTATGCATGAAACTTTTTGTTACTGTCTGCATGTTATTATTTTCCCTAATTTCTTAAACATTTTATGTATATCTTTATAATGCAGAAAAAACTTCCTGTACGAATAAATAAAGAGGTGAAAAACTAGTAAATAAATAAACAAAAATATAAAAAACAAAGGTATTGTCTTATTGAAAAAATTGTCAATACATTGGATTTTTCATAGAGTTTTTTCTTCCGTAAAAAGAAAGATACGAATAACTTATGACACTTTGTGTGACTTTGATACGTACTTTGCTTAGTTTGGCTGTGATGCCGGCAACAAGAGTTGAGAATACCGACTGTCCGTTTTCTCCGGGCTGAAACGACCGACGAGAAACAAATAATGGTGTGAAAATTACATAAACATAAGTATACATCAAGTTATCTACGAGTATAAATTACCTCACTCAATGGAGCGGACAACGATGTTAATAGAGACGCTGATCCCTCTTTACCACCAGGCTGAAAATCATATTTGTTCTAACTGCACGAATTCGCGTGACTCGTGCACGAGTTTTTCCTTTTTATACTATCATGATATTAGGACTTTCGGTTAATTTTGCGGGTTGATGATAACTAGAATGTTTATTACTAATTACTTATCATTTAAATTATTTTAATCTCGAAATATTTCCCATCGCTTGCTACAACCTTTTGCAGCAATAAGTAGAATCCATACAGTAGATAGGAAAAAAGATTTCTTATTTTTAGAAGCAATCTATTCATCATCGAGCTCCAAAATTAACCGGAAAGCACTTAGCATAAAGGTTTACAAATGAAAATTCTTACGCCACTGCTGGTACGACTTAGCGGGCCGATCAAAGGGCCTACGAGGGGGCCGATCAATGGTGCTATGAGTTGAATCAGGGGTCCCAAAATGGCACCGGAATCGCTCCCTTCTCCGTCTCTGCCCTAGAACGAATGTCGGAATTTAGTAGACTTGATATATGGAGAGAATTTCGTAGGAAAATTACGACGGAATTTTGTGACCGAAAAACACATCGACATTCCGTCGAATTTATTATTCTGCTATTTCATATATGTATTATATTATTTATATTTTTTATATCTTTATATTTATTATTTATCTATTTTACATCTATATTTATTACACTTTTTTCTTTTCAGGGAAGGGGAGCTAAAATCTATTATTAAAATATTTACTATATTCCTTAGCGAGATAAACTTTACTAACAAGGTAAGGTAGAGAACGCGGAAATTCAAAAACTTCTGAAACTTTGGAGGTCGCCGATGGGATTTTGCACATCATTGGCCCTGAAAAGGGCCGATTGATTGATTATTGAACTCGATCTATGATATCAAGTGCTGATAATCTGGTGCCCATTTTGTGCAATGCACATTTGCACCCTCTGGCGAAAACTGGCTTGAACGTCCCTCAATGATGTGCAAAATCCCATCGGCGACCTCTACATGGTGCACATCGGGTCATGCTAATGCCGAGGGTACTGCATATGATGAGATAAAAGATTTTTTCCAAATATTGGCGAAAAAAAGTGCATGATCAACTATGCGAAAATTCGAGTGAATTCCTTGCAGCATTCCAAGAACTTTTTGTCTTCTGCAATTTCCCCCCAAACCCCAACGTTCTCGAGTAAAAAATTCAGAAAGTTTGAAAATTTCAATTTTGGAGGCTGAATAAGTGAAATTAGTTTGCGTTATAAAAGAAAAATGCTTCAGACAAAAGTTTCATTTTTTTTGTACGTAGAATCGATTGCCGATATGAAAAATAGGGGTTCCCATTTAAGAAAAAAAAGTTGACCTTGAATGACCTTGAACCCTTCACCCGAGGTCAAAATTGTTGATGGCATCGAATGTCCCCCTTAGAACTGAACAACATTTGTCTGACATTTTTTTCTGGAAAATATCATCCTCGAATTTTATTCAGCCGGCTGGATTAAAATGGGACACCCTGTATATACAATGTTCTACCTGCTTATAGAATAAACTTAATTTTATCGATATTATTGTAGTTATTCTGATAGATTAATTTGTATTTTGATCTTTCTAAAGGGATAATATTTTCGAAAACTTTACTGGCGGAAACTGACTTTTTTCCGCAAAAGACGTTGCTTTACATTGATTTTAGACATTGATTTTACATTGATTTTACTGGAAAATGTGCGATAGATAAAAATAAGTTGAAAGATTTTTGAATATGCGTGGTTACGTATCTCGCTAAATATGGGAAGAATAGCACCTTGTATAAGATCAGCGTGTGCAAGAAATGTGAAATTAATAGTGTGATCGTATTCGATAAGCGAAAAGTTCCGCGTTCGTTTCCCGGCCCAACTTTACTCATATACCCGAGATATATATATACTGCTTAATTGCCGGCACAATTTATTATTTAATTATTTATATATAATTTATATTAATTTATATTAATTTATTATATAATTTGTAATAAAACGATGACAATTAAAGTTCTTAAAGTTCTTAAAAATTTTTGCGGCACACTTTAAATTCTTTCACGGTATACCAATATGCTGTACACACCGGTTGAAAATCATTGCTCTAAGGAGATATTATTTTTGAAAACTCTACTGGCAAAAACTGACTATTTTCTGCAAGAAACGTTGTTATACAACTGATTTTAGAAACTGAAAGATATGTGACAGATAAAAATATGTTAAAGGATTTTTGAATATGCGTGATTACATTTTTCGCTGAATATTGAAAATTGAAAAATTTTTGAAACCCCCTCTGTTCTCTTTTAATTTCAAAAAATTTGAATACACAGTTGCAAAGAGTATGAAATACACTACAACTTTCACACAAACCATTTTTGCATATGCCTTAAATATTTTATGTAAATATTTTATGTAATTCTATGTAAATATTTTAAAAGATATACGGTAAAAATGAAAATACTTTTTTTGTCGGAAGGTGGTTTTACTCCCTCAGACTGGAATTCCGCACAAACAAAAAATATAATAGTTTTGCATTACGGATGAATTACTTTATTACCACACAAAGTTTCAGAATTTTTTGAATTTTTGCATCTCCTACCTCTCCTTGCAAGTTTATTTTTGCACTATTAGAAGAGAAGAAAAAATTAAAAAAAATGTATATATAAAAATAGTCATTACGCACGGCTTTTTTATTTAATATTTACTGGATAGATTAATTTTCCCACACACACATGGTGAGGATATTTTACTAGAAAATATCATTACTAAAGAAAACGCGAAAAGAAAGTTAAAAAAAGTTTATTTGAAAAAAACTATATTATGGAATTTGTCTTTATCTGATAGGTCTATCTGTAGTAGATTTAATAGATTTGATAGAATTGGTAGATTTGCGCTAGGAATCGTTATTCGGTAAGCTCACCTCGCTGAGTCTTTGAGAGAGCGGCACCAAAACGCCTGGAATATCAATCGCATCCTCATCTTCCGGCTGAAAAAACAAATATCCCAGCGTCAAACTAAAACTTCAATCGAGTTAAGCCAATTGTTAATTAGAAAGTGCTACAAATAATCTCCAGAGCTACATCGAGCACCAAATATTCAAATCTTACGTCAGAAAGTCCTTCGAGCAGAGGAATAAGGCTCTGAAGCAGATCCGCTATGTCGACGTCGGCCTCTGGCTGAAATTCCCAATAATATTATTGTATTTATCGTATAAACAAGTTTCCCTTTCATAATTGTGAGAGAGATAAAGACTATAATTGCATCGCTCGCATATTTTACAAGTCTAAAGACGTCGATTTGCAAATCTGTTTGTTTCGGTTTATTACGTCACTAAGCTCCTCGAGAATCGGCACTGCTAACGGCAGTAACTCCAACAAGGCCTGTAAAGATCCACCTTCCTCTTCCTCGTCGTCGTCGTCGTCGTCGTCGTCGTCCTGCGAAGAGAACAGCTGAACGTTATGCACCCTCATGACGATCATTGCGCAAAGTGCGCAATGCTGTTACGAACGATAAACCAAACAATTTGAGCCACTTACGTCCGTTTGCTGTGCGAAGGTCTCGTTGCGTCTCTCCTGATTGGGCAGCATCTGAAACGAATAATTACATTTTGATCAGCGGCGCTCTCTCTCGAGAGTGACTTAGTCGAGAGTGTGCAGAAGCTGTCATAATTCATCGGTTACAGCTGCCTCGCTTTTTATTGTCGCCCTCTCGTCGGCAATCTCTCGACTTCTAGCGAGCGAGCGAGCGAGTGAGCGAGAGAGAGAGAGAGAGAGAGAGAGAGAGTGTGAGAGAGAGAGAGGAGGGGCAAAGGATCCACCGCGCTGATCCTTACTTGAGCAACGGATCATCGGCGCGGCGGTTTCATGCATATTTAATGCGTAGAAACGTCGCGACTTGGAAATGTCGCGGCAATGGCGACCGTTCACGAATTTCCAAATTTCACTTTCTCGGAGATGTCACCGAGACGAGCGCGAATTCTTTCGTCGAGACGGTTTTTGCATAATCGGCCGACTGTTGTGGCCTGTCAGCAAGCACGCGTCGACATGAAATATGACATCCTAATGAGAGTATGCATTCGTTGTCAGTCTTAGACGCGGATGCAAATGCAAAGCGGATAAACTTTCGAAGCGGCTTGTCACGTTCGAGCGTGGTTATAGATTGCAGCTTTTTCTCTACTGGTGATTTCGTCAGAATTATTACGATAATTGCAACCTCTTATAGATCATTGCGCGTACGCCGATCGTTTGAGCGTATCCATTGAGTATAGCCGCGTATTTCTCTCCCGAAATTTCGTAGACTTATTGTTCATTTCAGAGCACTTCTTTAATCGCGATTGCGCTTCTTCGGGTTTGTGTCATTTAACTTAACTTTTTAAAATTTATGTTACTAGTAAATTTCGGTACGAATTGTTCAATTGTTTAAATACTGAAAAGTGCGGCCGTTTTCATTGTGTTTCATTTTAAAGTATATCTTAAGTTACGAGAATATATTTTAATTTTCCAAGCGTTTAAATCCGTTGCAATACTAATAAATTTTAATACAAATTACTCAATCGCTTCCACATCAAGGGATTCGAATTAATTAAGCTTCCCCTGTTTTATGTAAAACTCTATCTAGTTAACGCCGCAATAAATTCACTTTTGACGTGTTTGTTTCGTTAAATTTTAATTTACTAAAAGTTTTATGGATATATTGAAAATGGCGGACACTAAAATGTAATCATCATCATGAAAGTTGACTCCAAAAATATACATTTTCTTATATATAAAATCTTCTTATATATAAGTAGTTTTACACATATAAATAAAATTAATAAAGTTTATCCTAACTGAATAAAATAATTTAGATTTAAATAAATATGTTACTAGTACCAATTCAGACTCAGATCACCAATAAATATTTCTTATAATTTTTTATTTCTTATCTTTTGTTTATTTTTTCTTTCAGCGTAGTGTAGTTAGTAAAGCCGTTGCCTAGCAAGCGAAAAGTCTCGGGTTCGGTACCCGGCCCAACATTACTCATATTCCCGATGAGCTTAAAAATATGCGACAGTCAAAAGCATATTAAAAGATTTTTGGATATACGTAGTTACATGACGTTTTTATGATTGCTCGTACGGTGTTTAATATTTGTGGAATGTAATGTTTAGCTCAAAACTCCTTGGCAATTACATTACATAATGAGAAAGACATTAGTTACGTAACAAATATGTATTATTGAATATCATATTATTTTCCTGCAGGTGCATCGTTTTGACATAAAATCCAATTATAAGAGGGAGAAGGAGATACAATAAAACACGGCGTTTTAGTAGTTCAGTTGGTAGAGCCATCGCCCGGCAAGCAAAAGGTCCCCGAAGGGTTCGATTCCCACCCAGCGTTTATACTTATATGTCCGGTATGTATATATATACTGCCTTCGTCTCTCCTGCAAATTGTCTCAAAAGTTGATTCAACTAATACAAAACGAAACTTCCATTCCCAGAGTAGTATATGTGTCTTCTATTTAATATAATTTCTAGATGACTAAAGAAGGAGAGAAAAGAAGCGAAATTATATACACCGATGGGTGTAGAGTTGTGTTTGGGTAAATTAGTTGGCAAAGCAGTCGCCTGGATATAATTCTTGATCTCTACTTTACCTCGCCTGATATATTTTTCTTTTCCTCTTACAGAATCAAATACTTTTCATGGTGTAGTCGAGTAATTATATATATAATCGTCTACTTGTTTATAGGACAAACTTAATTTTATCAATATTATTGAGTAGTCATTTTGACAGATTAAATTGTTTTTTATTTCACCTAAAACAGTGTTATTTTTGAAAACTCTGCAGACGGAAATTTACTTTTTTTCGCACAAACATTGCTGTATAACTGATTTTAGAAGTTAAAAGATATGCGACAATCAAAAATATGCTAGAAGATTTTTAAATATGTGTGGTTACGTTTCTCGCTGAATATTGGAAGAATAACACACCTTTGTATGAGATCAGCATGTGCAAGAAATATGAAAAGAGTAGCGTGATTATATTAACGCTTATCTAACATGATGTTTCTACGATTGTTTTTGTATGATGTTTAATGTTTGTAAAGTGTAGTGATTACCTTAGAGTCTCTTTGGTAGTTACATAATAGGAAAAAATTAGTTACACAATGTGTAAACAAATATGTCTTATTGAATATCATATTGTTTTCCTGTAAGTGCATCGTTTTGACATAAAATCTAACAATAAGTATAAGAGAATGAAAGAGATAAGACGAAACGAGGCTTGTTGTAGCTCAGATTGTAGAGACACCGCCCGGCAAGCGAAAGGTCCCGGGTTCGATTCCCGGTCTAGAGCTCTACTCATATGCGCCCGTTATATATGTACTGCTTTCGTCTCTTCTGCAAATTGTCTCAGAAGTTGATTTAGCCAATATATATGAAATTTGTTTAGGAATATTACTTTGTATAATTTCTTGATGCCTAAAGAAAGAGAGAGAGAAAGCAAAATTATATATCGAAGGGTATATAGAGTGTGTTTGGGTAGCTCAGTTGGCAGAGCAGTCGCCCGGATTCAATTCTTGATCTCTACTCTACCTCGCCTAATATATTTTTGTTCTTCTTACAGATTAATTTGTATTTTAATCCGCCTGAAGCAGTGTTACTTTTGAAAACTCGGCAGACGGAAATTTACTTTTTTTAGCAACAAGCATTGCTGTACAACTGATTTTAGAAGTTTAAGGATATGCGACAATCAAAAGTATGCTAAAAGATTTTTAAATATGTGTGGTTACATTTTTCGCTGAATATAGAAAGAATAACACCTTGTGTGAGATCAGCATGTGCAAGAAATATGAAGAGAGTAGCGTGATTATATTAACGCTTATCTAACATGACGTTTCTACGATTGTTTTTGTACGATGTTCAATATTTGTGAAGTGTAGTGATTACCTTAGAGTCTGTTTGTTAGTTGCATAATAGGAAAATTTAGTTATACAAGAAATATGTTTTCTTGAATATCATATTGTTTTCCTATAAGTGCATCGTTTTGACATAATATCTAAGGATAAGAGAATGAAAGAAATACAATGAAACAAGGCTTGTGGTATCTCATTTGGTAGAGACATCGTCCGGCGAGCGAAATGTCCCGGGGTTCAATTTTCGGTGCCAGCTTTTACTCTCATATACTCGATATATACGAGGGTGGTCCGATAAGATACTTAGCCTACAAAAGAAAAACGAAAATTTTGGAAAAGTGGCGATTTATTTCTCAACATAGTCTCCTTTTAACTCGATACACTTGACCCAGCGATGCTTCAACTTCTTTAACCCGTCTGAAAAATATGTTTTCTCGAGGTCTACAAAGTAGACCTCCGTGGCGGCGATGACCTCCTCATTCGACTCAAATTTCTGCCCGGCGAGTGACTTTTTTAAGTTTGGAAACAAAAAGAAGTCGCACGGGGCCAAATCTGGAGAATACGGTGGATGGGGCAGCAGTTCGTAGCCCAATTCGACCAATTTGACCGTGGCGAGGGCGGAGGTGTGAGCCGGTGCGTTGTCATGGTGGAAGAGCACTTTTTTCTTCGCCAAATGGGGCCGTTTTTTCTGCAATTCGGCGTCGAATCGGCATAGTACAGCCCTGTGACCGTTTTGCCCTTCTCCAGGTAGTCGATGTAGATCATACCTTGTGAATCCCAGAAAACGGTGGCCATCACCTTTCCGGCCGATAGGACAGTCTTCGCCTTCTTCGGAGCACGTTCGCCGGGTGAAGTCCACTGTTTCGACTGTTCCTTGGTCTCTGGTGTGTACCAGTGGATCCATGTTTCGTCGACGGTCACGAAACGACGCAGAAACTCCTTCTTTGCGCTTAAACATTAAGCTTAAACAGCGTCAAACACTGCTCTGAAGTGGTCTCACGGTTGCGCTTGTTGTCCGGAGTGAGCAAACGCGGCACCCATCGCGCCGACAGCTTTCTCATGCCCAAAATTTCATGCAGGATATGACCCACGCGGTCTTTTGAGATGCCTACTGTCTCAGCTATCTCGCGCACCTTCAATCGGCGATCTGCCAATACGAGATCGTGGATTTTTGTCATGTTATCCTCCGTGGTAGCCGTTTCCGGGGCACCTGGGCGTGGCTCATCAAAAACCGACGTGCGACCACGTTGAAACTCGTTAAACCAATTTTTGACGGTCGCCATCGAAGGAGAAGAGTCACCGTACACAGTATCCAAGCGTTCTTTGATTTCGCTGCGCGATTTCCCTTCCAAAAACAAGAATCGAATCACCGGCCGATATTGCTCTTTTTCCATTTTTCTAAAATCCGCGGACACGCCGGCTTCCGCACGCGGTCAAAACAAAACTACGAGTCCAATTCGGCTGAAATTTCGACAGTAGCCGTCTACGAGAATGTACTACACGATAGTAAATTTCTCTTGCGATAGTGGCGCCATCGGGCGGTGAGGCTAAGTACTTATCGGACCGCCCTCGTATATGTATTGCTTTCGTCTCTTCTGCAAATTATCTCAGAAGTTGATTTAGCCAATACATCTATGATTGGAATATTACTTTATATAATTTCTTGATACCTAAAGAAAGAGAGAGAGGAAGCGAAATTATATATCGAAAGTGTGTGGGGTGTATTTGGGTAGCTCAGTTGGCAGAGCAGTCGGATTCAATTCTGTATTTTTTCTCTCCTCTTATGCAATCAAATATTTTTTATCGTATATTGGGGCAATTATATATACAATCGTCTACCTGCTATATAGGTATAGAACAAACGTAATTTTAGCGATATTATTATAGTTATTTTGATAGATTAATTTGTATTTTGATCCCTCTAAAGAGAGGTATTATTTTTGAAAACTCTGCTGGCAGAAACTCACTTTTTCCGCAAGAAACGTTGCTATATATCTGATTTTAGAAATTTAAAGATATGCGGTAGATAAAAACATGTTGAAAGATTATTTAATATATGTGGTTACGTTTTTCGTTGAATATGAGAAGAGTAACACACCTTTGGATGAGATTAGCGTATGCAAGAAATATGAAATGAGTAGCGTGATCGTATTAACGTTTATGTAACATGACGTTTTTACGGTTGTTTGAATAGTGTTTAATATTTGCGGAGTATAATGTTTACTTTAGAGCCTCTCTGGCAATTGCATAATGAGAAAAAAATTAGTCACTCAACAAATATGTTTTATTGAATATGATATTATGTTTTCCTGCTAGTGCATTTTTATGACATAAATTCTAAGTATAACAGAGAGAAGGATATATATCGAAACATGGTGCTTTAATAGTTTATAAGGAAAGGCATGTAATTCGGAAATTCAAAAACTTCTGAACTTCGGAACTTTATGTGAAAGTAAAGTAGTTTATCCGTAATGCAAGATTATTTTTTGTTCGTGAGGAATTCGAGTTTGAGGGATGAAACCACTCTTTGAAGGAAAAAAAATCCTCTTCATTTTTTACGTTTATCTTTTAAAATGCGACGCATATACAAAAATAGTTTGTATGAAAATATAGTGTATTTCATTTTCTTTGCAACTGTGTTTCAGAATTTGCAAAATTGAAAAATTTTTGAAACCTCTTCAGCTCTCCTCCAATTTTGCAAAATCTGAATATACAGTTGCAAAGGATATGAAATATATTATAACTTTCGTATAAACCATTTTTGCAAATGCCTCGTATTTTGAAAGATATACGCTAAAAATGAAAATGATTTTTTTTCAAAGGGTGTTTCACCCCTTCAGACTGAAATTCCGCACGAACGAAAAATAGTTTTGCATTACGGATAAACTACTTTACTTCCATTACAAAGTTTCAGATGTTTTTGAATTTTCGTGTTTCCTACCTTTTTTTATTAATATAAATGTATTATTGTAAATACATTGTTTATAAATTAGCTAAATAGTTGGAATTTGAATAACGGAAATGTAATGATCAATTAAAACAAATTAATGTAAACTACTCGATATCGTCGCGAAACAGGTGAAGATTTACGGGTCGATTGAGAAGAAACATCGAAAATATCTCAGGCTCCAAAAAATTAAACATATTATTTAAGTAATAACATGTATTTTTTTCATTAAAGTATTATGAGTTTATTATTCGTTATTTGTCATTCATTTTAGGTGATTAATATTTTAGGTTGCTGTAAAATTTCAGTAGCGTTCGTAGCCTTCATGGAGGATGAGAGGAAATATCGAACAATAAAACGAAAGAGAATCACCCCCATAGCTCTTGCTAGCATTCTTTTCGTGCAAAACAAAACAAACTTGGGCGCTAAAAGTCAAGCTTTACATTGAACATTTACGAGCATTGAAAGTTTACGAGCTACTTACATCTTCAAACGTCACTTGTATCTTCTGCTGGTTAGTTCCTTTCAAGATCGAAAGGACCGGCGCTGTGACACTGACCTCAGTTGTGTTCTTTGGCAGTTTCTTCAGGATACCCAACATCCTCAACAGATCGCCGAGTATAAGCGGCTGTCGCTTGCTCGACTGCTGCTGTTTCGCGCCTTTCTTCTTCTCGCCTTTCCTCTGTTTTCGCACATTTTGCGAATTACTCTCTTCCTCTTCTTCTTCTTCTTCTCCTTCTTTTTTCTCTTCTTCCTCTTCCTTCTCCTCCTCCTCCCTTTCCTCTTCTTTTTCTTCTTCATCCTCCTTTACTCTCTCGTTCTTCCTCATCTTCTTCCTGTCCGTAGTGAAATCATCGAGAATGACATTGATCTGACCGGACTCGTTCGTGAGCGTGTAATTCTTATTGAAATACGACGGGAACTCATTCGGAGGATCTCTACCGCGGGTCGCGAAGTAATTTTTCTGCTGGGTCTTCGAGGTCGTCGTAGCCGAAGGCAGTTGTCTGGTGATCGTTATCACCGCCTGAAACGGAAAGGTCAAGAGAGATTCATCTGTCTGCGACCGATTGCGCGGTGATACTTGCGCGAACTCGTTGTTCGTCAAGGGTTTCATGCGAACGTTCAAGGGTCTTTTCTTGGTTGAAAGCCTCGTGGGCTCTTTGAACTCGGAATCGTTTCTGCCGACGTTTCCGTTCTGATATGGAAAGACGTCGGTCGCCCTCGGGGGCAATGGGAGGTACATGGCGGAAGGTGGCCGCGCCAATATTTCGGGACTCGTGAAAATCAAGGGCTCATTCTGTTGAAAGGGATCCCCGACATTGAAATTTGCGTATTGTTCAAAGTATAACTGCTGGTCAGTGATCGGCCCGTTGACGCTTGACGTGGGGATGCTGAAAGGATCCTGCAACATGGCCGCTGTGAACTTCATCTTCCCCACGGGCAACGGATACGCGACTACTTTGTCGTCCGCGCTTTGCACGGGTGGCTCTTTGAGTCTTCGCGCAGGATAATTGATGCCTGGCTTCTTCTCGCTTGATGGAGTTTTCCTCGTCATCTCCTTCGACTTGAAACCCGAACTGTTTGCGAGGGACACTCGTTTGTCGGGCTGCGACCCGATCGACGAGATATCCTTCAAGGTTGACGTGAGGTTGACCTTGGGCGTCACCAAGGTCATCACATATTTGGACCAGGCTAGTAGGTCCTGCTTCGAAGCAATCTTCAGTGGCAACTGGATCTCCAGGATCTTCGGAGACGAGGAAAAACCCTGCTCATTCTCGTTAGTCGCTCGTTTCCGTGACATTAAGGGCGCCGAACACGCGAGGTTGGATACTACCAAGATCAGGATGCAGTTCGAACGGGATAGTATCAGCGACAATACGAGAAACATCTTGAACACCGATATTTCTTGCCGTTGGGGAGTATTTCAAATCTCAGGTGTAACGCGCAGCGACAGCACCATAATTCATAATGGAAAATAGCACCACATTTCCTGGTCGACTCTCACTCTTTGATCAATTCCTTCAACACGTTTGTCCGACTGAACAAGAATCTCCGATGCAAAATAATACGGCTAAATATCAAGTTATAACGTTTCCTATCAAAATATTAGGAGTGAAATTTAGTTTTGAGAGTTTTGCAAGAGATGCCACAAATGTCAGTTTTGTTGAAGACATTCCAATCACACCTATTGCTTTTTAATGCTTTAATGTTAATCCATAATATTCAGTTATTTACTAACTAACTAACAATAGACGCAGAAGAAATTGTATTAATGCCATCTTAAAAATGAAACTTCCTAAAGAGCATTTCGACATACGCTGCTTTTGTTTTTTAATCAGAAGAAAATGGCGGCTAAAGATCATAGAATTCTGATAGAAATTTGTGGTGATGTGTTCCATCAATTAAGACATGTGAATGTTAGTTTAGGCTCAAAAGTGGTGATTTTAATTTTAACGATAAAGATCTCTCGGGACAACCAAGAAAGCTTGAAAATGCAGATTTGCAAGCATTATTGGACGAAAATTCACACAATCCGCTTCAGAACTTGCCAGAGCACAAAATGTTGATCGTACAATAGTTACTAAACGTTTACGATATGAGAAAGATTCATAAAGAAGGAAAATGGATTCCACAATTCAATTATCAGAAAATGCCATTGCAAACCGGTTGAACATTTGCATTTCGTCGATCGCCAAACAAAAAATGAAGAGTTGTTTGTATCGAATTATTATCAGGGATGAGAAATGGATCTATTTCGATAATCTTAAATGAAAATAATCATGGGTTGGCCCAGGCCAACCAGCAACATCCATTTCGAGGTGCAATATTCACGGTTCAAAGGTATTGCTGTGTATTCGGTGGAATCAAGGTGGAAAAAGGTGTTGTGTACGTACTATGAACTGTTAAATCCGAATGAAACTATCACTGCTGATCGTTATCGACAACGATTAAACAAATTGAAGCGAATATTGGACCAAAAACAATCACCAATCGCGAGTAAACGACGCAAAGTAATCTTTCTTCACAACAATGTTCGATTTCATGTTGTATTATCAGTGAAGAAAACGCTATTAGAGCTGGAATGGGAAGTCTTATCGTACTCCGCATGTTCTTCAGACATTGTTCCATCCGATTATCACTTCGAGGAGTGAAAATTTGTTGAAAATTGGATCAATTCCAAAGAAGAATCTTTTTATCGTCGCAGAATCCATCTCTTGCCAGAAAGATGGGAAAAGATTGGAAAAAACGCAGGAAAATATTTGGATTAAGGTATTCGTTCATTATCTTGTTTAAGTAAATCAGTTATTGAGAAAAAAATCTTCAAAACTAAATCGCACTCCTAGTAAATAAATGAAGACCTGTAAGAGTCGAATGTAGGAAAGAGTGTTTGCCTGAAAAAGAAATAAACGAATCTAAAACACCCCGAACTAATTCCCAATAACAATTATAATCAAACACACACAAGTATCTCGATTCTATTTGGAGCCTTGTGAGTCGTCAACATTCACATGTTGATTAAGAACCGAGAAGTAGCACCGAATATAATAATCGATATTAATCATCGTGAGAGATCAATCTCACGTTTCGGGTTCTTCGTTACTTTTTCTTTCGCACAAACACCCTCTTACGTTCGACTCTTACGGGCTCCTATCACTTTATCCTTCCGTTTGACAAATTTTGCTGATCAATTCTTCTCATTCGCAACGCACTTCAAGATCTTGACGTCACACTTCACTCACAGTCGCGCACGTAAAAAATGCAGGCGGACGGATTACTCTTGGCTGACAACGATTCGTGTGCCGAATCGATGATTTAACCGGGCGTTTGCAGAGCTCACCGAGCAGAACCGGACGAGCGCGATGAACTCGGACGGAAGAGCTCGTGGGACACGATTGTACTTGAGGAACTGGACGGTTGAATAGGAAAATGGTTGCTTTATAGCCCGGTCTAATCAGAGGTCTGATTTTCCCCCCTGGTCGCGGAAGCGTGCATTCTTTCCATGCGGGATATCGGGATATCGGGCTCCGTTAATCACAGTGCATCGGATCGGAGGCGGTCGCGTTCACTTCCGTCGTTGCGTCTCCAGCGACGAGGTCTTCCTCCCCGCGGCATTCGGATCATTACACGCACGTCGGGCAAGTATGTAATGTGAAACGCGCGCACATGACGACAGCGACGAGAGCGACTTTCGTAAGGGCGACGCGAGTACCTAGTCCTGCAAGCACGCGTCGCGACTTCGTAATATCGTAAATGGCGAAATTACTTTTCCCGAGATCGCGAGTAGACATTACGACTCGTGGAAGACGCGGAGCGCCGTAATCGCGCGCTGCGCTTCGATTTAACGCGCAATTAGGCGATTACGCGTAAACCATTGTCCACGCTCGGTGCGGAACTCGTTCGAGGAGACGAGTTCGTCGTTTGCGGATCTTCTCCTTCCGGATGGAACAATCTCCTCGCTCGCTGAGTTTTCCTGTCGCAAGAATGCGAAAATGACAAAAACCACATCAGGTGTATAATAATCTCCAGACGTGGCATGAGTAATTTAATGTAAACAAACGAACAGCTTAAAGTAGCAGGAGAAAATCTCTTGGATTCAGCATAATTAGAAAAAAGCCATTAAAAGATATCATAACAAAAAAATTCATGTATTCTAATTCTTGTGTAACTAATGCAGTATTTATTAAAAAACGGAGGGAGAATCGATTAAAATTGTCAAATGATTGATTCATTATTTTTTTTTCCAAGTGAAAAATGATTCTTCTGAGGAAACATTTTTCAACACACGTTTGTGGATCTTTTCTTTTACTACGAAAGTAGAAAAATTGCTATAATCGCGCATAAAAATTTCCAAATGTGATACGAGTGACATTATTACAACAAAATTTGTTAAAAATTCTCCCTTGAGGATTAAAAAATTTACTAGAGAGAGAAAGAAACAGAAAAGATTAAATCAAGCAATATTTATTGAAAACAGGGAGAAAGAGAGAGATAAATCTATTAACATCGCCAAGTGATTGGTTATTGATTCAAAGAAAAGATAATATTTTAGATAATAGAAAATGTTTTTATTCGTTCCGTCGTTTGTGGATCTTCTTCTGAGCGAAGCAATCTCATCAACTGCTGAACTCTTCCATTTCGCGTCGCTGGACTTTCTCTCTCTCGCTTTATAGACGAATTAACATCGAGGCGATGATCTCTAAACTCTAAAATTTTCTTTCCAGCTCTCGTGACACACTGGCGCACAATGGGCCAGGAGACTCAGTTTCGTGGCCAGAAGTCGGCAAACCCATTAAAATGTACAAAAACAAATTGCAATTATGCTTATATATGGTTTTCTAGGTTGTTGATTCCAATTTTAAAGTTAAAATTTCAAAATTCCAAATGGCGAATCCAATATAGCGAAAGATTATTTAAAAAAAATTATTGAATATACTCTAAACGGAGCGTATAGGAGTTTTTGAGGATGCTAATTACGAATCTGTATTAAATATTGCAAAATCCAAAAAAAGTTAATCCAATACGGCGGACGATTATTTCGACTTTGCTGAAGTAAAAATTTTTAAATTCAACGTGGGAGATTCATTTTATTCATATTATTATTATCATTATTATTAATTTGTAAAATTGTCTATAAACAATATAAACAATAATAAATGTATGTGAAGACTACATCTACGAGGGTAGTCCGATAAGTACTTAGCCTACAAAAGAAAAACGAAAATTTTGGAAAAGTGGCGATTTATTTCTCAACATAGTCTCCTTTTAGCTCGATACACTTCACCCAGCGATGCTCCAACTTCTTTAACCCGTCTGAAAAACACGTTTTCTCGAGGTCTGCAAAGTAGGTCTCCGTGGCAGCGATGACCTCCTCATTCGACTCAAATTTCTGCCCGGCGAGTGACTTTTTCAAGTTTGGAAACAAAAAGAAGTCGCACGGGGCCAAATCTTGAGAATACGGTGGATGGGGCAGCAGTTCGTAGCCCAATTCGACCAATTTGACCGTGGCGAGGGCGGAGGTGTGAGCCGGTGCGTTGTCATGGTGGAAGAGCACTTTTTTCTTCGCCAAATGGGGCCGTTTTTTCTGCAATTCGGCGTCGAATCGGCCCAATAATTCGGCATAGTACAGCCCTGTGACCGTTTTGCCCTTCTCCAGGTAGTCGATGTAGATCACACCTTGTGAATCCCAGAAAATGGTGGCCATCACCTTTCCGGCCGATAGGACAGTCTTCGCCTTCTTCGGAGCACGTTCGCCGGGTGAAGTCCACTGTTTCGACTGTTCCTTGGTCTCTGGTGTGTACCAGTGGATCCATGTTTCGTCGACGGTCACGAAACGACGCAGAAACTCCTTCTTTGCGCTTAAACATTGCGCTTAAACAGCGTCAAACACTGCTCTGAAGTGGTCTCACGGTTGCGCTTGTTGTCCGGAGTGAGCAAACGCGGCACTCATCGCGCCGACAGCTTTCTCATGCCCAAAATTTCATGCAGGATATGACCCACGCGGTCTTTTGAGATGCCTACTATCTCAGCTAACTCGCGCACTTTCAGTCGACGGTCATCCAATACCATTTTGTGGATTTTCTTCACCATTTCTGGCGTGGTCGCCTCATTTGGTCGACCACTGCGATGTTCGTCTTGGCAGCTCGTACGGCCTCGTTTAAACTCCGCCACCCAATATTTTACTGTTGTAAACGAAGAAGCAAACTCCCCTAGAGTACAATCTAGCTCCGCTTTGATATTGGTTGGACTGAGGCCTTTCAAATGAAAATATTGTATCACATAACGATGACCAATTTTTTTCAT